AATAACGCCTGCACAGAGAGCCGTTGTCGTTCATAGGCGACTCGTTCCACCACTACTGAGTGTTGCTGCTGCTGCTGCTGCTGCTACTGCTACTACTACTACTACTACTACTACTGCTGCGACGACGACGACAAGTACGAGTACGAGTACTAGTACTACTTACTACTACTCCAGTGGGTGCTGGAGTTGTTAGTTTTCGTAGTTTGCCACGATTCTACTTATACTTGTTATGCGCACACACGCTCACAAATACTCGCAGCAGTCTGTGGCAGTTCGCAAATCAGCAGGCTGAGAGATTTGCATGGATGCTCCACGCCATGCAGGCTGCACTGTGCGTAGGGCGCATACACCGTGTGCTTCTGCAGCACACTGCACTGCACACATGCGTCCTTGAAAATTGCTGCCAAGCAGGCGACCGCAAAGGTTGAGGCTATGACCCCGTGGGCTTAATATGGTTTAATTTAGGGGCTGCTACCAAAGAGGGGCGCAACATGTGGGCTAAGTCTAGTATTGGTGAGGAGGAAAGTGTATTTTGTCATGCACTCTGCCCGTGGCCATAGGCAAGGAACCCTTGCAGAAGATTTTTGTGAGTCTGGTGGCCTCACTCGAGCAAGGAGCAGAGGTGCTCCATAGAATCGCAACTTGCCATCTTCAGAACCCTCACTCCTGCGACGCCTGAGCCTTGGGCTCCAGGATTCGGCGAGCTTTCTGCATCAAGGTCTGCTGGAAATCGTCGTCAGTCATGTCCAGGATATTGCCGGGGAGGAATGCAAGCTGCCTCTCAACGACACCCAAATGCGTCTCTGCATCCTCGGAAGCCTTCTTCGCAGTGGCCTCCTCGAACAGATGCACTGCTTTCAGGAGGAAGACTTCCATCACGAGGACCTTCGCTTGCCTGGCTGTCTCCACATACTCACCCAAGGCCTTCGTCAAGCAACCCAATGCCTCCTGAGCGGACTCGCTGTCCACTCCATCAGCAAACACTGCCAAGAATTCCTTGATCTTCGGCACAGTCTCCTCGCGCAGTGCGTGGCTTGTGATGAGTATAGTAAGGAGCCCCACAAAACCCGAACTTTCCAAGTTTAAGGCTTGGGGCATGGGGAAGTTTAGGGCTTGCCTCGGCCTAGGCCTAGAGTTTCGAATGTAGTAGTTAATTTTTGTTTCGTATGTTAGTTACTAGATAGCGGATAACAGAGTTACGAAAGGCTATAATGCTTATCCTAGGAAAGCTACAGCCAATCCACGGGAACACTGCATTGCAGGGTCCGGGTTCTAAGTAGAGCTATATTTTATGTTGGTTAGTTGGAAGCCTAAGCCCTAGGCCCTGGCCCTAACCGCCCTAACCTAACCGTGAAACCGCAGATTAGACTTGCAGACCCCTGCCGCATCTCCTTCGTGGCTGTGTCTGAGAAGGCTTTCAGGATCTTGCCAGGAGCCACGGGGAACAAGGCTTGCGAGGCAGCATGGTACAGGCAGTCAAAGTCGGCCAACCCGGCCGCATCATTCTTGAGCTCAGCTGTCCAGCTGTGAGGGCCGTCATTGCTCGCCAGCAGGTCCTGCCAGGAGGTCGTAGCAGCACTCTTGCTAAGCAAGTGCGCAGAGGTCTCGTCGGAGAGCTCCTTTGTGGAGGCTGCAAGGGATTCCTCGAGATGCGCAAATTTCCACGCCAGGATGTCGTTGACCTGATCGCTGGAAAGCTCTGTCAGGAATGCTTCTGGAGTAGCCAGCTCCAGCAAGGACCCAAACGAGTCACTGGCTGCTTCCTCCAGTCGGCGAGCGGCCTTCTGGCACGCAGTGTCAGCCTCACGCAGCCGCTTCCGCGTTGCCATGACCACCTGCAGCATCTGGGGGCCTTCGGCAGAGAAGAACGCAGCATAATCATCGACACCGCGAAGCTTCTGGTTGCAAGAAACCAGCGTCATGCCGGACCCTGCTAGCTCCACCCAAGCTTCTGTGACGTGCTGCACTAGCTCAGCCTCAACCAAGCTCATGCCAGCCAGCTTCAGGGTCAACGTCATGTGAGCCTCCACGTCACTTGACTTGGCCTCGTGCCCGGACGCCTGGCGAGAAGAAGGGATTCTGCTGCATGCTGCGAGAGTGCCCCAGAGCATCCTACAGTCCCACAAAAACTAATCACCAATTTCCGGCATCAATGCCACCCTAAACCTCACGGCTTCCTTTACCTTTCGTGTAGTGTAGTCATCTCTACTCCCCAATGGGTCCAAGTATCTCTACAGTACGTGCAAAGGGCTAGAGGTAAGGTTTAAACAGGGATCCAGGAAGTACTTCAAGGCCCAAAAAATCCCAATAACATACCATATAGCTACATGGACCCATTGGGCTCTAATCTCTGCTCCCGTTTGTGTATTTCACCCTCTTAATCTGTGCGCTTCTATACAATCCCTATGGCTCTCTTATGAACCCCCCTAAAGCTCTACACAATCCCTCCCGCACCTCTTTAACTTTCCCCCCCGCGCCGAACCCCTCCTGTCATGTGTACACCCCACCACCTATAGAAATTGAGACTGGGCACTGGAGCTCCGGCTAAGGCTAAGCACGAGTAACATACAATCGGACAAATTAGAGTCGATTCCGGCCTACCTCACGACGGCAGCGATCTTATTTCATGTTCTGTGGTGTTGCTACAGTAGGCTCGAGTGTTCAGCTACACTCTCAGAGTGCTAGAACCCTACATCAACCATTCCCTAGCAACCCTGGGAACCTCGATGAAGATGCTGCGGATGCACAAGGCGAGGAACTTGTCGAAGATGCCCATGTGCTGCTCATTGAGCGCCTTCAGATTCTTGAGGCATGTCTGGATGCGCGGCCAGTCGATGCTCTTGCCGGACTCCACGGCCACCTTCATGGCCTTCAGCATGTCGTTGTTCACCAGCATCTTGTTGTGCCGTGTCATCCAGTCCTGCAGCTTTCGCATGACATCAGCTACTCCGGGGAAGTGCCTTCTCATGTTGAACGCATCCAGCAATGCATTCAGATTGTCACTCTGCAGCGCATCTGACTCCGGCGTGTCGCTGGACATGATGATGCCTGCGAGCTCAACACCACGCTCCTGGGGGCCACGTTGTCAGTCAACTTCGAAACTCTATGGGGTGTATAAGGTAGGGTTTAGGGTTTAAGGATGGCAATAGGGCTTCAATAGGGTGATTAGGGCAAGGGGCGGCTAGAAAATAGGACGCTGCGCTGCCACACGCCTACACTCGAGAGTCACAGCAGCCTTGGGTCCTATGCTTCTAGGGCTCTAGATTTTGGATCTGTCGCAACGCCGATCCTTGCGCAGAAATCAAAGTGGCACACGGAGCTCAAACAGCCGAGCGGCGCAGAAACGCTTCTCGATGGCCACCAACTTCTGCGAGCGCACCCCGTCCTTCACCTTCTGCATGATGTCGGCCATCTTGCGGAAGCTGCTGACAGTAAGCTGCGGCTCCTCCAAAAGCTCCTTCAATTCCTGGACTTGGCACTCCAGCAGGGCGCCGCATCCGCCCTTCTGGACCATGTCCAGGTATTCCTGCACGTGCGTTATCTGTTGCGCAGTTGAGGAGGTGGATGGATTGCTCGAGCATGCGCGAGCTTCTAAGAGTCTTGCATTCAGGGTCCACAGGTTGGGGAGTTCGGGGTCTCTAGATTATTAATTTAGATTCTACTCTATTAGCGCAGGAACTCTGCAAGAGTCCCGGAGTATACTGGCTACACTGCCTAGGGGGCCTCGGGCCTAGAAGTGGCTGAAGTCTGAAGCTGGCCTGGTTCCAGAAATGCTTGGAGTTGCTCAAGAGGCGCCTGATGGTGTTCGCAACCGGGTCATTGCCAGCGTAGTTCACGAAGAAAGTGACCTCTGCGTCCTTGGTGCGAGGAAGGTTCGCGGGAGGCTCCACACACAGCAGGTGCAGCAGGCAACGTGCCACTTGGACGGACTGCTTGAGGGCAGCCACCAGAGGTGCAAAGAGAGTTCGCACGGCGGCCGGGATGGCGTCATCCCCGCTGTTGTCCAAGCGCTGGATCATCTCTGCATGGGAAGGCAGGAACCCAAGGCAGAAAGCCACCACAGATTCCTTGGCCACCAGGCCGGCTCGCAAGAGCTGCACCCAAGGCTCGTGCGTCAGCGCGCTTGTGATCATCTCCGCGAGGGCCTCGCAGGGCATGCTGCTACTAAGGCTACTACACCATACCTGGTTGCATGTGTGGCACCGATGTGGCTCAACAAGCCCATAAGCCTCGCTGCAACTGGGGGACACTGTGACTCACATTTCATAATCTTGGACGGCTGATTTGCTCGTTGGCAGAACGGCTATTAATTATTAGATTCTTTCCGATGCTACAATAACCAGCACAAACCCAAGCAGCTCTACACTCTACACCCCCGGCACATCCAAGATAAGGCCCCTCCTCCACCTTCAATAAACCCCCAACCCAAAACCCTATAGGCACTATAGACCCTAAGCCCACCACAAAACTGTCCTCAACTCTAGCGGCTAAGACGGCAGCTAGGACAGCTTAGACGGCTAAGCCGGCTAAGCTAAGAGCAAGGGCTGCGAGTGCGGCCAGCACCAAGCAACCAGGAAACCTGGCTGTTTCATCCCTGTCCCTCGCCTTCACATTCTCTGCGTCAGGGTGCTTGAGAATGTTCTCGCTTGCCTCGTCGTGGGCACTGCCGGCCCCCGACGTCTCGAGAGCTTGCTCAAAGTCCAGCACGCACTCTTGCGGTTGCCTGCGGCTTTTTGGTGGAGTCACCTTTCACGAAAGCAATCAGCGTCCGGAGCAAGGAGTGCAGCAGGCTGGCCAAGTTCGGCTTCGCTGGGTCAAACTTGCTCTGGTAATCATCCTCCGCAACGGACATGAAGTTCCCCGCCGCACGCGCAGCCTCTCGCACCTGCTGCTGAACCTCAGCGCTCGCACCCAGTTCTCCTGAAGGCAGAAGCATAGAAGCAAGCAACCAGAGGCAAGAGAGAGATCAATCAGGCGATGACACCTCATCACGAACAAGTGAGGCAGAGGGGGAAAGCGACAGGAAGATTAGGTACATACAGACACACATAGATACGTATACTATGTATGCGCCTGTGTGTGTGTGTGACTTAGAACGTATTATGTTAAGGCTTATTGTAATACATTCTAAGTCACACACAAATACATAACTGTTAAGCCCCGAGCATGATGTATGGCATGGCCAGGTCCTGTCCACTTCAGCTTTTCCAAGAGCTGGAACAGGTGATTGTCTACGAGCTTCACCTGGATGTCAAATCCGAAAAGGTGCCAGCCTGGGCGGCACGCACGGAGAAGAGATCGCAGACTCTGCTCGTCGGTCTCGCGAATGCTCTTGCCTTTGAGAATGTCGGCAGCGTTTGCGGCTGCAATTCGTTCTTCCAGCACCTCCACGGACCCTTCCTCGCCAGAAGACTTGAGATTCTTCAGGATGTCTTTTGCCTAGGACGCCGGGAAGTTACAGTGCAGTCTACGCAGTCTATAATCTACAGGCCGAGATCCTGACCTCCGTGCCAGTGTCGTAGACTAGAATACGACAATACGAAGCCTATAGATTGGAGGCCCGACGAAGCACCGTGCTGTCATGACTGAACCTGCACGGTAGTCACACTGTAGTCAAGAGAGGCTCTCTACTTCGAAAGAGCTGGAATCACCTAGAAGCTGGCAGCTACAGCGACGCATGCTGACTGTCCAACTTTGATAATTAGATCAGAGACCCCTGTTCGCGAATTACTTGGCATACACATACTTGGGAATCGGCATAACCGGCCACTCCACTTGTCTAGGAACCGGGCCCCACGAATCTTGGCAGCCGTTGCGGTACGTGAGCAGGCAGAGTCCAAGAAGTGCTCCAGGGTCAAGTTCTCGAGGGCTTTCGTGCTCGTGCCACCGCACTTCATGTGCTTCGCCGCCACCGCGGCCATGTCGGCGTCCAGGGCAACGGAATCCCTGCCCTTCTTGCTCTTGGACCCAGCGCTTGCTACCTCGTAGGCACTGTCATCGACTTTCTCAGGGGTCGTCTTGGCAGAGGGGGCCTTGGCAGAGGGGGCTGCCGCTGGAATGCTTGTCGCACTCGTGGTCTTGCTGACCCCTTTTCTCGCAGCCTTCACCGGGCCACTGCTGCCCATGTTGCTGCTGCCCACCCCAGGCGCACGCTTCTTGGTTGCCTTTGCCTGCGCTGCTGATGCCTCCGCTGCCTCGTTGTCCAGCAGGTCGTCAGCATCGTCACGGAGGCGCTGCTCCTCCAGCAGCTCTTCGTCCTCCTCCTGGTAGTCCACAGCAAAGTCACCTTCGCTGCGAGCAGAGGAACCTAAGCCCTAAGCCTGCTTTCCACGGTTTAAGCTAGGGTTTAGGGTTTATGATTTAGGGGTTTAGGGTTTAGGGGCTCTAAGGTTTAAGTTTAAACAATCGCGTGTCATCCTGAACACATCCTCGCCGGCAGACATGCGCCACGGCTCATCCTTTCCCAAAGCTGGAGATGCTTATGCTGAGATGAGCAACCCCGAAAATCCTTTGTGTTCACCCGCACAGAACCTTCGGGCTCGAAGCAATTCTTCAAGAAACCCGAGGAAAAAAATACTTAGCATGGCTATCCAAGAAGAACACAGAGAGGGCGACAGAGACACAAGTAGTGGGAAAGGCGCAGGGACAGAGAGATGAAGACAAAGAGAGAGGGGCGAGAGAGAGAGAGA